AATGATGCCTAGAATGCATAAAGCTCTTGATCTGTTTGGAACATTCAGTTTTCACCAGATAAGACATATATTATTAAAAAATTAAACCCAAAAGGCACATATATTTTTCTTCTGTGATAACAACTTAAATATTCTGAGGAATATAAAAGGAAACTCAAACTCAACTCTATAAATTCTACTATTTCTGTATGATTCTACTACATCTGGATGGGGAGGAACAGACTCAGGCTCAACCCGTCCAAGACCGAGTGGCTGTGGTTACCGGCGCCTCGGCATAGTCAGCTGATTCCATCGCTGACTATAGGGGGCGAAACACTGGCTCCCTTGGATCGGGTACGCAACTTGGGTGTCCTCCTGGATCCACGGCTGACACTGGATGACCAGTTGGCGGCCGTGACCAGGGGGGCGTTTTATCAGGTTCGTCTGATTCACCAGTTGTGACCTTTTCTGGACCGGGACGCCCTACGCACGGTCACTCATGCCCTTGTCACCTCCCGCCTGGACTACTGTAATGCTCTCTACATGNCACCCTCTGGAATGAACTGCCCCCAGAGATCAGGGTGATCCCTGATCTCCCTTCCTTCCGCCGCGCCCTTAAGACATGGTTATTCCAGCTTGCAGGACTGGCCTAGGGGAAATTTTTAGAGGGGGTTTTAATTATATTTTAATTAGATCACAGTTAAATATTTCCTTTTTAATTAATTTTAATCTTGTAATGTATCTGTATATTTTTACTCGATTGTTAGCCGCCCTGAGTCCGCAAGGAGAAGGGCGGGATATAAATTTAATAAAATAAATAAATAAATAAATAAAATCTAGAAAATAAAACAAATGGTCCAAAGTTTTATCAATTCCTATAGCTGACCGATAGCATTAAATGTACATTTTATTTCAATGTTCATTCTATTCTATTCTGTTCTGTTCTGTTCTATTCTGTTCTGTTCCGTTACGTTACGTTACGTTATGTTACGTTACGTTACGTTATGTAAATAGGCCAGCAGGACCAAATCAAAGTCTGGATCCAAATCCCATGGAAATCCCATGGGATGATATAAAATGAACCGTGCATGCAAGAAACTCCTCAAACATTGCACTGAAATGAAAAATAAAATGGGAAAATTTCTCCCAGACACCAGAAACTGGTAGCTAATTATAAGAAATATCTACTTAAGGTTATTTCAGCCAAAGGAGACAATCCCAGTATTACAGGCAAGGGAATACTTAAGTTTTCTAAAATGACATGTTTGTTATTTTTTCTTGATTAAATGATTGCAAAGTAATTTTTCATAGATTTATTTTTGTTCAATTACATCACTTTTTACTTTATATACTATTTGAATAGAGGTAAAATATTGGTATGTCCATGTGTGTTAAAAGAGGGGAGGGGAATTACATGGAAAGTGCTTACTGTACTTTTTTACATGACTGTATATGGAGTGATTTGATGCATACTGAGAGAAAAAAAGCATTCAACGAAGCAACATGTGATTTAAGAAAGGACAGAAACGTATGGAGAATGGTGAAAAGTGTCACATTGAAAGTTGCTATGTATACTAGTGCATTTCTGTTTCCTTTCATTTTTTTTATCTCAGATCTTTAATTTCTTTTAGTATTACTTATTTTTCTACATTCTGCATAACTTAACTGCTGCTTCCTCTGACAGGAAGCAGCATGGTGGTGGTGCTTGTATCACCACACATCATAAAATTCTATAAATTTGCAATTCTGTCTATACTTTCTACAGAATTGCTTATTTACCAGAACCTAAAAGAAGGACAAAGGGATGAAATGCCAAACAACTATGACCAGAAAAATTCAATCACCATTATAAAAATCACATACATTTTAGGAAGGTAGTAAGATACTCTCATAAATAAACAAATAACAATTTTCCCAATATAGATTTTTTTCATCTGTATATTTAAAGCTAGCAATGAAAATATGTACCATGCCACAGCTTTCAAATACTATTGTATCACAATTTGATGTATGTTCTCTGTGTTCTTCTGCTACAAAGCTATGGGACTTGGGATTCTTGAGAAATAGCTGTATTTGTTCAATTACATTAAATGTGATTAGTCCAAGAAAAGTGTACCATAAGATTGTAGATCAGAAACAACATATACAATTGTTGAACTGTAACCTAAAGCATTCAAGAATGTTCTTACCATTGTCATGTTAGTTTCCTAGACCTGAAATTTTACAAGGTTTTTGTAATGCTTTCTGAAAACTAGTAATGCTTTATATCAGGGCTTTTCAACCTTTTCACCCATTGTACCACTTTTAGGCTATGGCAATATCCGAGTACCACCAGTCGCCTAGCAAAGTGTCAAAAACCTGATGACCAAAAAAAAAAAAAGGAAAAAAGTGATAAAGTACAGGTAGTTCTTGACTTACAACAGTTCGCTTAGTGACTGTTTGAAGTTACCATGGCACTGAAAAAAGTGTCCCCCAAGCCACAGCCAAGCAAGACACCTGCCTGCCCACCCAGTGGTACTCTTCCTCCTATCTGAGGTTTTCATTGTTCTGAGCATTTCTGTTGAGGATTGGCAGCAGGGGTGGGGTGGGTGTTTGGCTTTTATTCCTCCTCCCCATCTGCTGGGTGGCTGCAGCAGGTTTTGGTCACTTCACATGACCCTGGGACACTGTGACCTGGAGAGGCTGCAACATTCCAGCTGATAGGCGCTTCTTCTGGGCTCAGCAGAAGCACCAGGATCAGCGCCGAGCTCCAGCTGGAGCCTGCCGCTGATCCTGGAGCTTCCACTGAGCCCTGACAGCCCCGAAGAAGTGCTGATCCTGGCGCTTCCGCTGAGCCCTGACAGCCCTGCAGCTCCAGCCATCTCTCGCTCAGGCTTGTGCGGTGCTGCCACAGGTTCAGCTCATTCTCCTCCCCCACTACCACTTTTCTAGGCTGGTCGCGTACCACCTGCCAGGTGCCAATGTACCACAGGTGGTACCCGTACCACTGGTTGAAAAGCCCTGCTTTATATCCCTGAACTAATACTTGGATTTTTAGATAGCTAGATTAGATATAACAAAAAGACTTAAGCCCATTAAAAGCCTAGTTTTCACTTTAAATAGGTTAATAACTTATGCAAAAATATTGGAACAATTTTCCCAAGTGACATTTTTAGACTAACAGCATGACTCTGTCTTACAAACTGTGCTGTGACAAAAATAGAGTTTATCATGTTTTTTCCGCAACCTGTTGCAGTGATTTTTATAGCATCAGCCAAAGCCTGGAAGGATAAAGTCCCCCATCAGGTGCTTATGAAAGGCATGTCTTCTTTGGGAGAGCAGCATTGACAGTCTCCCATTAATTTCCTATATCACACTTACCTATCCTTAGGAAATCTTGAAGGAGGAGTACTTATTCCCTATTGTGCCATATATAGTTCTTTTGGTGCCTGCCAGAGTAAAAAGCTGACTGTCAGAAATCAAGCATCTCTTAGAAATGCATGTACTCTTTAACCGAAGAGCATGTACATATAGCTAAGGGTAGCTAGCGCAGAAAGTGTGAAATTTATCTGGACCCAGGAGGTTCTTCCATCCAGATCACTGGGCAAATTGATAAGAAAAACTGTCAACTGTTTTTCAAAAACCACTTTGGAAAAATGGTGAATTTGATTACCTTTAGCACCTCTTCATTCCCTTTAAGTATGTTATGCTTTGGGCTTGAGGTGAATTAACAGCTTCCATGACAGCTTGGCACATCCATCAATTAGCTAATCAAGTGACATTTTTATACCATCACCTTCAGATCTCTTATCTGTACTAGGCAGGTTAAAAGAGAAACCAGTTTTAACCAGCTAATGGATTATGTCCTTTCTTTTGGCTTTCTTTTGGAAGTTCCAGCAGGAGTTACAGAAGTCTTAGGCTAAATTAATGTCAACTGTCCAGCTGGCAAATTCAGCATTGAAGAAACTCTGCAGCCTTGAGGTGCCACAAGAGATAATCTTTATTGAATACACATCCTAGCACAGAAGAAGTAAAATCAAATCTAGTTTTCCCGTATGAAAATCTGACTAGTTAATAACAGTTTTTCATAACCCCCATCCACCATGCGTTCACGTTGCCCAATCACGTTCTTTCTGTTTGTTATAGAAATGGTCCACTTCTCTGTCAGACACCTGCTTTTGATAACCTTGGGTCTCACGGTCCATGGACTGCCTCTTGAAAGTCCTGTTTGTTTCCCAGGCTCTCTATGGCAAGTTGAACAGCGACAGAGGTTAGCAAGCATCTTAGCAATTCAACCTTGACAATATAACATCATCTTATGATGTAACATGTAGAAGAAACCTAACAATTTTTATGTATTCAAAGCAAAATGTTTAAGAAAAACATGAATTGATGAGAATCTGAAAATCCACTCATGACTTCAATTTCTTGAGCGCTTGTATAAGTATTCATCATATCAAGAAACCATAGAGTGGGGTAAACAGAGGCTATACTCAAAAGAATAATGAACAAGAATTACATGTAATTTAAATTCAATTCATATTTTTTAAAATGAGATACAGATAATATTATTTTTGTCCTGTTAAAACTTACAGTTTGGTGACAATTGGAGATATCTGGGGTTATCCCCAAGGTTTGGTGGGATCAGATAAGTCTCCAGCCTCATTTAATACCTCTGTTCTAGAATTTCCTGTGTTTTGGCTTCTAGAGTATCACCTGTGTCTGCAATTTTCAGTTCCTAGTGTTTCCAGTTCAGGAATATCATTGGCTGATGTGATTTTCACCAAACTAGATCCAGGTAGCTCTTATAGACATAAGGAAAATAAGCTTACCCAAATACTCTTAAATATTTAAAATTTAGCCTTCGAATGGGTTACTCTTACACTATAACCTGAACAGTATGTATATAACATGAACACCCAATACTCATTTCCACGTGCCTGGGAGAAGCCAAGAAATCAATTATCTCACACTGTGAATTTCTTGAGAAGTGAAAAGAATCCAAATGAATGGTATTTATTTATTTATTTATTTAATTCAAATTTGTGATTGCAATCCATCTCCAAGGGACTCTGGAAGGCTGATTGGTCCTCCAACTGCAAAAACAAGAAATTCTGTTGGTTAACTACACATCTATACACACAAAAGAAGAATTATCATTAAGAAGGAAAATATATGATGCTAATTCCTATTTGAATCATGATCTTGTAACAATTAAGTATTTAAGGCTTGCTCCTATTTGCAACAATGTACTACTTATGGGAATGACAATTTTTGTTTATAGTTTCAGAATTTTCTTTCTATTAGGACCCTTAACCCAATATTTGCAGCTGAAACTAGACAAGCTAAACCATTGTTTGGTAACACTAAGTAAAAATCAAAGTTTATAAAACACAGTGGCTGGGGTTATGGACCAGGTTAAGCCAAAAATGAAGAACCTGTTTCTTGTTTAATTAAACCTCTGAACTGAGAAAAGCCATGATCAGGTTTTTCATAGATTTTAAATTGTTTCTTATAAGCCACATTTCAGGGAAATATTTTACAGCTTGAGCCGCTCTTTTCTGGACACTTTTTTTTTTCTTTTACCTCCCCCTGCTTAGCTATTTGGATAATGGAAATATCAAAAGCAGCTTTAGAGCCCAGTTGGTCTAAATTCAGTGGTGGGATTCAGCCAGTTCGCACCAGTTCAGCAGAACCGGTAGCTAATTTTTTGTTGCCCAGACCCAGAATGGACTTCCGGAAGCGGTATCCGCACAAAGAACCGGTTGTTGACATATTTAAATCCCACCACTGTCTAAATCAGGAAAATAACCTGAAAAATGAAGAAAAATCTCCACTCCAACAACCCCAGTAAGCATAGACAATACTCAGAAGTGATGGAAGTTGCAATCTAACATCTGGCAGGTCACAGTGGCCCCTTCTCTGCTTAAAAAAAAATGCCACATTCAATTTGCTCCTCTCATTTATAAAAAGCAACAAGAAACTACTTTGACCAGTTGTATCCATAATATATATAAGCTAAGTTTATTAAACAGTTGTTTTTGTATTATCCCAGTGTTTGACTATGTTTCTTAACACACACACATATAAAGTCTTTTTAGTGCCAAATAATGCACTTAGTATTACTTTCCAAGCAAAGTGGCCTCCATGACAGAGATTAACGTTTTTCTCCTTCCATGTTATTTTTCTGAATATATTTCATAGAAGTAAAAAGAAACTCTACTCAAAATTGTGAATCAAAATTAGTAACAAACAACAAAATAAAATGTAAACTCACTTGCATTTTTCAACAAACAGTTTTCCTTTTATTCTTCTGTATGAAACTGTTGATAAATTGGGCCAGCAGACAGTGTATGCAGAAGAGCAGGTAACTCACTGGAAGTGTACCTATTCTGTGTCCAGAAATTTTCAAGTTCTCATCTGAAACTCTGAAAAAGAGTTGCTTTCAATCAGATCTAAAGTTTTGATATTTTTTTTAAAGAAATACTCATGCTTTTCTACCCAAATAGAATTTTGGGTATATCTAAAAGGCATCTTCCAGCAATTTTCCCAAAACGTGGCCAGCCTTGATCTTCCTGCCATGCTCTCTAATCTTCCCTGTACAGTAGACCTTCATTTGAAAATTAATATAGTTTTTGCACTATTTTTTCTAAAAATGTCTTATCCTCATACCATTTCCTGTCTCTCAGAAGACATCCCCCTCCCCATCCAGTTGGGGATTCCTGTTCTAGTCAAATGCCTACTAGATTAACTGATCTCATATGACTAGAAAATAACTATTGTTACTGTTCTACTATATGTTTGATAGCTGATTGACCTTAGTCACGAAAGTAAAGTAAACAAGGAGTTAGCTAAAACAGGATGTACTTTACAAGTAGCAAGTAAGAACATTTACAAAAGTCAGAAGACATTCTATTATAATTTTATGATAATAATCGTACAATCATGTTCACTTCAAAGTAAGAGTAAACATGCTTGGGAAACTGCTATAAAGTTTTGTAATCCTAGACAGACTTGCCACAAAAAGGTCACACTTGAAATAGGAAACTGGGCAGAAGCTGCAGTATCAATCACTTATATATCCTTCCAGGTAACTGATACAGAAGCAAGCTCCCTGTCTGAAAGATAGCAATATAAAGTTTGAGGCAACCATATCAAATACTTTAGCACCATTTAATGTTGCTGTGAATATCTATTTCTTTTTTCTTTTTTAAGAATTACCCTATCTTAAAAAATTTTTTAAAAATAGTTACATTTAAAATTTCTGTCTTTGGCTTTATGCATAGAAAGAAACAGCAAGCTTTACTGAATGATGAATAATTTAAAAAACCCAGTATCTTTATTATACTTAATTAAAATTCGGCAAATTGTGAACAAGGCTTTACGTTTGCCTCAATCCTCCATCAACATGGATGTTAAGCAAGATAGAGAGGAAGAAAGCTAATCTGATGTTAGCAGTTAATTTTTTGATTCTCATTTTGTACTATGCCATGGTTGACTTGAATTGAACTGAACTGAATTTACTGAATAAACCATAACTCAGTGTTGTATATAGGGGTTCATGCAACATAGTAAATCTACTATAAATCAAACATATTACCTGATGGTTTCCTTCTGTGTTTGAGTTTAGCCATTCTGATTATGCAAAAGAGGTTGAAAAACTAACTGTAATCGTTATGCACTAACTGGCAGATTTCTAACTGGCAGATTTCTAACTACATAAACAACAAAGTCAAAAAAGCCACCCTAAAATCTCCTGCTTTCCATGTTCTCACTTCTTCTGCAATCAGACCAAAGGATAGCTAACAGCAGAGGATACCATTCTACTTTGAAGTCTGAGACTTGCAACCTGCCTCCAGATTCTTGCTTCTCATAACTACTAGAGGTCCATCTTATGTCTAGCACCATATCTGGATACATGGGCAGAAAACAGGGCCAGTGGTCCTTCAGCTGCACAGGGCTCCCAGCAAACAGGTAATGGAGCAACGGTACAAAAGTGACCTGGCTGTGCACATCTTATAAGTGCTTCAGGGCTGTGAGGCTACAGGTCCACCCACATATTAATCCAGATCCCTGGGCAAGCAGTCGAAGGGATTTTTTTTT